TCTCATTGCCAGATTGTTTATTCATTTATTTTGCCAATGCCAGAATTTACTTATCGATAAATTATAAGTAAAGTAATATCAAAAATTGTGTAAAATAAAATTGTAGAGTGCCTTTGCCAATTATTTAAAAATTTAAATTTCCTTGAGACTGTAAAAATTTCCTGCCATGATAAAAATTAAAAATTTTTGTTTGTTTGTCGAAAGCCAGTTTTGTGAGAAAAATCCGAGTAAAATTCCCCACAACTTGTGCAAAATCAAAAATTTCCCCAAAATTTTATGCCGAGAACATGTTAGACCGGAAATAGTAAAAGGGGGCCCTCCTTGAGTAGTCACGTCCTTGCTTCAAGACAGCACAGTGACGTATATACTAATTGTGCACCCCCCTGAAAATTTACATTTTTTCAAACTTAGAAAATTTTCTTTAAAATTTTTTTTTTAAATGGCAAAGGCAATTGACGAGATGCAGGATTACAAGAGACGCATGAGCGAATTAATTGGAGTACCATGTGTAAGCCGAGTATGGGAAAAAATTAAAATCATGCAAGTTGGCCAGGTAGTGACGAATTTATTGAGACACCAATTGTGTATCAGTGGTTCGCCACAAGTCTTGAAGGAGAGACTATTGCGAGCGGAAATGAGGTTAGCCCAAATCGACGATTTAGATGTGCCATTTAGCGATCGATATGACTTGGGAAATTCCGACAAAATCTTTTTGGTGGAAGCTTTCCCAGAGCCATAAATGGAGAAATTTCCATTTGTAAATTATCGTCGAGGTGGCCAGATGTAATCAGCAGATGACGAAGAATCAGATAGTGGGGCGAGTCAGGTCATTGAACGTATTAGTGCCAGGAAAACATTAGGGAGTGGGGGAAAGAAAACCAAATTTGGAACACCGTACAGTAGACATAGTCCGACCAGCGTTGTTTCGACCCCAAATTTTACACCCCCACCCCCAGTCATGACAACAGCCAGCATGACGACATTTTCCCCCACAACAACGAGTGCTCAGATGAGCATGACAACGAGCACGACCATGACAGCACCCCACACTATTCAGTCGGCCACGATGGCCCCAGTGGTCCAGAGCCTCCGTGATTCAGTCGTGCGTTTGGGTTTGTCACCTGAAATAAAAAAAATTATGGAGTATGCCAAACAAATGGACTCTAGTATCAATCATCGTAGAGTGCCAGAGAATGGAGAGCCAGTCTTAAATCCCGAAAACAATGAAAGTAGAAGTAGGGGTAAAAGGGACAAGGTAGAGAGACAAATTGAGTATAGTGGTAGCGAAGATGGCCGTATAAGTAGTAGATGTAGTTGTAAAAGCAAAAATAGTGACCGACCGAACAAGAATAAGAAAAGTGAAAGAAAAGTGGGGGAGAGCCGGAGATCAATTTTAGATGACTCTTCGAGTGAGTCTGAAGTTGAGAGACCTAAGTCAGAGGTTGAGCAGTAGTGGGGAAAACCTAGAACGCCTGACACCAGCCTACCGTCGTCAACTGGAACGACTCCATTTTGAATCGTTGAGCCAGATGGAGAAGATTTTGAGAGACTACGAGAAGGCCAAAGACTTAGACGAAAGATACGCCCCACCACTACCCAAAGAGAAAATGCGTTTCCCGTTAGCAGCCATGAAGGAGAAGAAGAGTAGCCAGAAACATGCGAAAAATAAGAAGGTGGCAGCACTAGAAAAGAAGTCAGAGTCGAGTGAGAGCAATCACTCTACAAGGACAGAGAAACCGAAGAAAAAGAAGAAGAAAAGTAAAAAGAGTAAGAATGAAAAGAGTAAGCCAGAAGAAAAGAGCGTCGAGGCCATTAGTCCAGCGACATCAAGCCAGAAGCCAGCAATGGTCCAGGGCCAAGTTGCCAGTACCGCGCCACCCCAAGCAGTGCAAATGGTACACAAACCCAAAATACCTCTAAAGAGTTCATCGGGGCATGTTTCCACTGCCAGACTACAGGACATCGAGCCAGAGATTGCCCACAGAGAACCTGTTTTTCTTGCCAACTTCAGGGGCATTATTCAAACCAATGCCCTCTGAAGCCAGCCCAAACAGAAGTGTGTCTGGTATGTAAGAGGCCAGGATGCAATTTTCTAAATTGCCCAAATTGTGTGTCAGTCAGAGCCGCTTTGGGAAAAGCCGCTTTTGGGTGTGTGGGGGGCACAGAGCAGCCCTGTACCCCCCTCAAACCCAACTGGACAGTAAATAATACTGTTGAGGGGTGTAGAGCCGAATTACGTGAGCCGAGTATAATAGAGACGAGAACCGAATTTAATGAGCCGTGTGTAGTAGAAAGAAGAGCCGAGATTTTTGAGCCATGTAGAGTAGAGATAAATAGCGAGTGTAGAGACAGATTCATGCCTAGTTGTAGTTGGGTAAAAACTGAGCGAGAATTAGAATTAGAGAGAGGAGAAGAAGTTAAGAAAAGTTTAGAGCCAGCCATAGGTAAGGACGACCTAACAGAGGACAAAGCGTTCAAATTCGTGCTAGAAAGTAGACAAGAGCGGTCAAGTGAGGAGAACTCACTCTACCAAAACGAAGTAGAGAAAATGGCGGAAGAGTGTGGGACAAAAGGTACGGATGTGATCCCGGTACCTATAGTCCAGGGGAGGGGAGAGGCTGTGAAAGTCACAGCTGACCCGAACCTAAGTAATGAGGAGGACATCGACGGATCTAGGACGGAGAACAGATACTTCTTCGACATGACTATCGGCGACCATCATTACGAGGCACTTTTCGATCCTGGTGCTATGATTTTAGTAATTACCACCAGAGTCGCAGAGCCTTTCAAAAGCCGAATTCAGCCGTGTGGTACAGTTGTGAGGAGTGCAACAGGAGGTATCATTGAAACAGCCGGACTTCTGGACCTAAACATTGTAGTCGATGGAGTTGCTCAAAAATTCTTAGTAAAAGTCATGAAGACTTTGACACAGGACATCATCTTGGGCATTGACTTTTGCAAGGCCTGGGACATGGAAGTGAAGCTTAAAGAAGGACTGTGGAGAGTTTTTCGAGGAGAATGGCATGAGTTTGGGCCAAGAGAGAGAGAAGAGGACGAACAATTAATATTCGCCGAATGTGCCGGTATTTCTGCGCTTGACGATGAGCAGAAGAGCATAATCCAAGCCATAGTAGACAAATGGGTACTGCCAGAGTCGGAAGAACACGGAATGACGGAACATCATATACGTGTTACGAACGAAACGCCAGTACAACATGGCATCAGACGGATGTCGCCAGCCATGTTAACTTGGGCCCAAGGTAATGCAGCCAAACTATACAAACTAGGGATCATCGAGCCATCTGCCAGCCGTTGGAGGAGTGCGCCAGTAATTACGAGAAGAGGAGAGAACGATTTTCGACAGTGTAATGACTACAGAGATGTCAACAAAGTTACGATCAAAGATGGGTATCCACTGCCATCCATTGATTATATTTTGGATAAGCTCCGAAAAGCCAGATATTTGTCGAAGGTAGACCTCAAGCTGGCATATCATCAAATACCAATGGCCGAAGAGAGCAAGAAATACACTGCTTTTGCCATACCGGGGTCAGGACTATGGCAGTTTCGCCGAATGCCATTTGGACTCATGAATGCACCGATGACGTTTCAACGTCTAATCGACGCATTGCTGGGGCCGAAAGTAGAGCCGCATGTCTTCGGGTATCTGGACGACATCATAGTAGTCACAGACACTTTCGAAGAACATGCTAAGTGGTTGGAGTTCGTCCTCAAGAAATTGAACAAGGCGAAGCTGATAGTGAATCCAGATAAGTGTGAGTTCGGGTGTTCCAAAGTGACTTATCTGTTTTACTTATTGGACAGAGAAGGTTTGAGGCCAGATCCGAATAAGACAGAGCCGGTGAGAAATTATCCAGAGCCGAGGAACGTAAGACAACTCAGACGTTTCTTGGGCATGGTCGGGTGGTATTCCCGTTTTATTCCAAACGACAGCGAAATCAAAATACCATTGTTAAAGTTACTACACAAAGGCCGAACGTGGGAATGGAAGGACGAGCAACAAGAAGCTTTTGAACAGCTGAAAAAGAAGCTGACATCTGCGCCAGTCTTAGCACGACCTGACTTCACAAGAAGTTCACAATTCAGTGTGACGTCAGTAACTATGCCATTGGAGCCGTACTGACGCAAGAATTTGAAGACGGAGAACATCCAATAGTCTACATCAGCCGAGTCTTGACGGAGCCAGAGAGAAACTACAATGTGACAGAAAAGGAGTGTTTGTCATTATTGTGGTCGATCAAGAAGTTCAGGACGTACATTGAAGGGTACAAATTCCATGTGATCACGGATCACAGTGCCCTAAAATGGCTCAGGAATTTAAAAGATCCTACAGGCCGGTTAGCCAGGTGGGCCTTGGAAATGCAGCAATGGGACTTCGACATAGTTTACAGACGAGGTGCACAACATCATGTCCCTGATGCATTGTCCAGACTTCAAGAAGACGAAGAAGAGTCAGTAGCCGCGTTTGAATCCTTTGAAGATCAATGGTACCTCAAACGCCGAGAGTTGGTGAGCCAACATCCTCAGAGGTTCCCAGGGTGGATCGTGGAGAACGAGAACCTATATCGTCACCGAAGTGACCCACTTTTATTGCCGATAAACGGAGATGAGGACAGCTGGAAGTTAGTAGTGCCAGAAGAACAGAGAGCAAGAGTCATGGAAGACGGACATGCCCAAGCATCAGCCGGACACTTGGGGATTGAGAAAACTTATGATCGAATAGCACGAGAGTACTACTGGCCAGGCATTTGGAACGATGTGCACAATTATGTGACACACTGTCTCCAATGCCAGATACATAAAGTATCTCAAGCCGGACCAGTCGGACTAATAGGCCAGAGAATTGTAGAGAGACCGTGGGCCGTAGTAGCCGCCGACACGATGGAGTTCTTATCTAATATGGAGTCAAACACATCACGACTCCACCTTACCATCCACAAGCCAACCCAGTCGAAAAAAGTAACAGGACTCTAAAAACTATGATCTCAACTTTTATTGGCGTCGATCATAGAAATTGGGACATGCATGTTCACGAGTTCCGCCACGCCGTGAACACAGCAACCCAAGCGGCAACGAAAACATCTCCAGCGTTTTTGAACTATGGGAGACATCCGAAGCCAGTGAAGAGCCTGCGAAGAGAAATAGAGAACAAGAGAGAAGTAGTTAGGATAGAGCCGGAGGATTGGGTAGACAGAATTAAGAGATTAGACGCGTTAAGAGACATGGTAGCCAGACACATTGATAAAGAACGGGCGAGACAGACTAAGTATTATGATAAAGGTAGGAGAGACGTGACTTTCAAAGTAGGTGATTTAGTGTTGCGAAAGAGTCATAAGTTATCTAGCGGAACACAAAAATTTGCGACAAAATTAGCGCCGAAATATAAAGGTCCATTTAAGATCACCGAGATCCGTTCACCAACTGTTTTCATCTTACAAGATGATCAAAGCAGACGAGTCCCGAAAGTTCACATCACCGACCTAATACCATACTTACCTATCCCAAAGTTGTAACTGGTATTATGTCCGCTACGAATTAATAAAATTATTTTAGATCGAGGGGAGAGCCGCAGTTGGAGAAGGTGGGCCAGAAGTAGAAAAGAGAGAAGAAGGAGAGCCATGCCGTACACGCCGCTGGGGAGCCGTAGGGCCAGAGAGAGGGGTAGACGACAGCCAAAGGAAATGGGAGAGGAAGGAACTAGGATACAAAGAGGGAGGCGACCACAGTCCAGGCATCGCCCATTCCCAGAATTTGACACTGGGGATGTCAGGAGGGAATGCCCATCGTATTTCTCGTTCCCGATCACTGAAAGAGTCACAGACGAACCACTGAGGGCACAACCGGTTTGTGAAGAAGGAGAGCCGAACATCCCCGCAGATACTGAGGAAGAGGGTGCTGTAGGTAGAGTAGTAGAGCCAATCGTGCCACCAACTGAGTGGGAAGACGTGAGTGTCTTGGAAGTCAGGACAACACAGCCAAAGATGACTCAACGAACTGATGGAGCCGAGGTAGTGATACCATATCGCTGGCCAGCTAAGAGAAAGGGAGAGCCAGGAAAAAGAGAAGGAAAAACAGAGGAAGGAGAGGGAGAGCCAGCTAAGAGAAAAGGAGAGCCAGGAAAAAGAGAAGGAAAAACAGAGGAAGGAGAGGGAGAGCCAGCTAAGAGAAAGGGAGAGCCAGGAAAAAGAAAAGGAGAAACGGGGGAAAGAGAAGGAGAACCAGGAAAGGGAGAAAGAGATTCAGAGAAATGAGAGGGAAAACAAATTGAGAAGAGAGGAAGGTCAAGAAAAAGAGAGTCAAAGAAAGAAGGACGAGAGCAATTTGGGACAAAAGGGGGACGAAAAAGATTTAGTGGCAGGAATCATGGCCATCACTCAGCCCTTGGCCGGATTGCCTCTTTCAACAATCGACTTGGCCATCCGTCAATTGTTGGAGGAGAGGAAGAAGAAAAAGAGAGAATAAGAAAGAGGAGAGTACAAGAGAACTAAAGAAGGTAGGGAGAGCCGAGAGGAAATGGAAGAGCCGTAGAGATTGTAGGAGAGCCAGAGAAAGTAGGGAGAGCCTAAAGGAAATAGGAGAGCCGGAGAGAAAGTAGGGAGAGCCGAGAGGAAATAGGAGAGCCGGAGAGAAAGTAGGAGAGCCAGAGAAAACGAGGGAGAGCCAGCTGCCATTATCATCATGGTGATGACGGTCCTATATAAAATAGTACCGGTCATGGGGAGGGGATTGTGACGTTGTCAATGGTCAAATTCTATTATTGGAAAATCTGAATCGTCGCGCCACCTGTTAGAGAGGTCCCCGAACCACGATATTCAATTATCATGGTAATTAGGGAAAACTAGCGTCGCCGGCTGACCCACTAGTAGTAGAGAAAGTAAATCGCGCGGCCAGCTCACCGGAGAAAGTGATAGATGGCAGGGCCAGTACCGAAATTTGCGAAAAGGAAGAAGAAGACGAGCCACGTGCAGAGAAATCACGACGCTACAGGTGCCCTGTATGTTCGTCGCCATAACGGTTTTGTGAGTATACCGAGTTTGTCTTGGAAAACCAATTTTCCGTTTTTCTCATTGAGTTGAGTCGAGAGTTTTTGTGTTAAGTTGAGAGAAAAGGTGGATCGTGAAGCTCAAAGAACTGTGAATAAGTTTTGTGAATAAATTGAGTTGAAATTGAAAACTTATAGTGTAAATCTTGTTTTATTTCTTTCGCTTGGATTTATATTTCTCCACGTTTTCTTCCAACCACTGGTGAAGGCGAACCTGGAAGAACGAGAGGGAGAGTCCGAGATCGAAATGCTACAAAGAGTGATCGTCGTGGGTAAGTCCTTTTGCCATTGTCAAGCCAGTCGTGTCTCGCCGTTGGCATTTCTGCTTGCCAACCGTTCGAGCAGGATTCCCTCTGAGTGAAAGAGAAACTCAGAGGTGTTGAGTTGTGTTTGTATTTTGAGCCGAGCCTAAGTAGTAGTTTATTAATTATCTATAAAAATTAATTGGCGCCTGACGGCGAAATTTATTAACTTAAATTTCATATTATTATAATTGTTGAAAGCGTCGGATTTTGCCTGACGTAAAGCAGAAACTTTGAACTAAAATAAAATTAGTTAAAATCATACGTCACAATATATATAACCGCTTATACAAGCCCAAAAACTACGATTGCCGTGCGTTACCAAGCCCAAATGGACGTTATCAGACCCGGCCGCGGGTCTGGTAACGTTTTTTCATGTATTTTTGCATACAATACATACATAAATACCCTGACAAAATTTAAGCTGGGCTTGATTTGGTGGTCAAACGTCAATTTATACACGTTTATAGTTCCTGATGTTGAACCAAGGCGCCGCTACCATTGATATACAATTTTTGTATATGACAATAAACGACGCGGACACGTGACTCCAACGTTACCAGACCCGTCATTTGGCAACGGTGTAAAAAGCTAAGCATCTTACGAGAATTCTGTTTTTTCAAGATCATTTAGTAACAACCTGTCTTTAACTTTCGAGCCACTGAAAATTTTTATTTATGCGGAGTACCGATGTCTATCGAGAATAGACAAAATGTTTTTTATTACATTTTTCAAAGATGACTCGGATTTAACAAAAATTTAACTGATAATGTGGAAGGTCAATAATTTACTACTGTTACATTGAATTTCTTATTTGTTTTAGTAATATAATATTGTTAATTTATATTACTTTTAAATATACGTATCAAGAGAGTTACAATTTCTAGAAACATGTTTTTTCTAATAACTGCAAACTACTATGTAATTTTATAAATTAAAAAGTAGATTGAGTTATTTATTTATTTATTTATCAAAATACATCCCCGCGGTCCTACAAAGAACCATAAATGGGTTACAAAAGAAAAAATAGAATTGAACAAAAAAAATTGTGTTTATAGAAAAGTTAGTACAATCAGAACTGAGCTACTTAAAAAGAAAAAATAAAAATAATACAGAAAATAAAATTTAAAAAAAACAAAAATATGTTAGCTAATAGTTAGTTTAGTTAGTTTAGTTTAGTTTTTTTTTAGTTAGTTTAGTTTAGTTTAGTTAGTTTAGTTTAGTTTGATTAGTTGTGCTCTCGTAGGCTGACAACATAGTTTTTTACGCATTCTACAAACTTAGATTGTGACGCTACAAATAAATCCATATTCGGGCGAAAAGAATTGAACATTTGGTTTATATGATAGCACGCAAAAAAGATAGGAGTATTTTTTATTCGAATTAAGTCACTTTGGTCAATATAAAATAGTGAAACGTCTCTAGATGATATACGAGGGATCCTGATATTAATTAAGTCTAGTAGAATTCTACAGTCTTTTGTTTTGTTCGAGCATAATGGTTGAAAACTAGCATTGACAGATGAAAAAACATTAGCAAAAGTATCAACTATAATTTGAGGGTTTTTAATTTGAGTATTATTAAAATACATAATATTCGGTAGATAAGACGACTTACGCGTTTCATTGATAAAGGACCAAAATGACTTAGGATTAGAAAATACATTCCTTTCAACCTTAGATATATATTGTCGATAGTGTTTTCTAATATTCGTGTGAATAGATTTTGACAAAAGTTTAATTTGCAACGCATTGTAGTCAGAAGAACATTTTCTTCTTTTCAAAAAATTATTTTTAGCACGAATATCATTGATAATTTGTTTCGTAAACCATGGCGGATAACGTTGACTACAATTACATTGTTTATTTTTAAAGGGAACATGTTCCAAAAATATTTCATGTAGACGCTGTGAAAAGGCGGCGCACATAGTAACAACAGTATTGTACCCATTCAAGAAGGACCAGTCAATTGACAGCAAGGACAAATATAAATTAGGAAAATTGGCTTTACGAAAGTTAAAATGGAGATTGTCAGTTTTTGTTATTGTTGAAAAATTTGAAGGTGAAAATTTGTGGGTTGAGTGTAGGAATGCATTTATCGATAAGGAAGGATAATGAGCGTCTTCAGGAACAAAAGGAAAAGTAGCATTCACAACAGTACACTCCAGATTTGTAAAAAGCAGATCCAGAATCCGATTATTCGAGTTCGTAATAAAATTCAATTGCGATAAATTAAAATTTTGAGAAAACTCGAACAAAGCAAAAGATTTTGAATCAAAAACTGCATTAGATACACATTCCACAAAAGAAGGAACATTAAAGTCACCAATAACAAAAGATTGAAAGTCATATAGAGTGGTTACGTCACTAAGGGCCAAAAAAAAAGATGAAAAATGTTCAACAGGTGTATCAGGGGGAACGTAGATAACCACTACTGCAAACGTAAAGGTGTTTTTTGATATAATGGCACCAATAATATTAATGTTTAAATTTAAATCCTGTATTGCAGTTAAGTCTATTTGTTGGACATTATATTGTGTATTAATGGCTAACAAAACACCACCTCCTCGTTTATTAATTCTATCATTTCTAAAAATATTAAAAGAAGATGCTGGAAATAATTCATTAGAAATAACGGAGGATTTGAGTCAAGTCTCAGTTAAACAAAAAATATTAAACAAGAAGAGATCTGGAAAACATTTCACTATATCAGTTTTGGAGTTCAAACCTCGAACATTTTGATAAAAAATGCGTAAGTTCGGCTTACAGCTGATGACGGATGTTGTGTGGCTTAAGTTGAGGGGTAGGGTGGGCGGGACTCCATAACGGTGGGGATGCCATGGCGATAGCGAATTACAAGGTTGGTTTCCCCTTTCGTCACTCTCTCCTCCAGCTCCTTCTTCGCGCACTGGTACTCTACTTGCTGATGTTTCGTGCGGTACTGCGCGATTGCAATTGATTTGAATTCCGGCGGAAGCACATGCCGGTTTTTGAAGAATGATTCTCTGATTGTTGTTGGAAGTTGAGGGTTGTTGAAAATCACTTTCAGAGGTCTCGGTCGTGTATTCGTCTGAGAAAAGAAACCAATTCTCGAAATTCTAAATGTGTCTTGAGATAATAGATCGGGAGATAAAATTTGAAAAATTTGAGAAACAGCATTCATATCATAA